AGAAAGTGTGCTTCAGATGAAGCACGTGAAGATTATACTATGAAAACAGAATGTATTTAAAAGTTTTAAATTAAATTGCTAAGCAGATAAGCTACTCAGAAACACCACTGTGTTTGAGCAGGAAGAGGAAGTGATACTCTACCACAGAGCAAGCGAACACCAAGTGACAGCGCCACCAAGAGTCAACAAGTTAACACTCTAAGAGAAGATATGACACTTTGATACAATGTGAAGCAGTTGGTGTACAGCTTGTATAACAGTGTAAATTTGCTGTCCCCTTAAAATAACTCATACAGCCATTAACATCTAAACCGCTGGCAACAAATGTGAGTACACCCTTAAGTGAAAATGTTGGGGTTGTTATCATGTTGGAATACTGTCCAGTGGCCCAGTTTCTGAAGGGAGGGGGATCATGCTCTACTTTACTTAAGTATGGCACAGTACATGTTGGCATTCAGGGTTCCCTCAATTAACTGTAGCCCCCCAGTGCCAGCAGCACTCATGCAGCCCCAAACAATGTCATCCCAAACACCATGCTTGACTGTAGGCAAGAAACACTTACCTTTGTACTCTTCACCTGGTTGCCTCCACAAACCCCTGACACCAACTGAGCCAAATAAGTTTGCCTTGGTCTCATCAGACCACAGATAATCCATGTCCTTAGTCTGCTTGTCTTCAGCAAACTGTTTGCGGGCTTTCTTGTGCATTATCTTTAGAAGAGGCTTCCTTCTAGGACAACAGCCATTTGATGCAGTGTGCTGCGTATGGTCTGAGCACTGACAGGCTCAACCTCCACACCTTCAGCCACTGCAGCAATGCTGGCAGCATTTATACATCTATTTTCAAAAGACAACCTCTGGATATGACGCTGAGCACGTGCACTCAACTTCTTTGGTTGACCATGGCAAGGTTTGTTCTGAGTGGAACCTGTCCTGTTAAACCGCTGTATGGTTTTGACCGCTGTGCTGCAGCTCAGTTTCAGGGTGTTGGCATTATTTTTATATCCTAGGCCATCTTTATGTAGAGCAACAATTCTTATTTTCAAACCCTCAGAGAATTCTTTGCCATGTTAAACTTTCAGTGACCAGCATGAGAGGGTGTGAGAGCAATAACACCAAATTCAAACACATCTGTTTCCCCATTTGCACCTGAGACCTTGTAACACTAACGAGTCACATGACACCAGGGAGGGAAAATGGCCAATTGGGCTCAGTTTAGACATTTTTACTTAGGGGTGTACTCACTTTTGTTGCCAGCGGTTTAGGCAATAATGGCCGTATGTTGAGTTATTTTGAGATAACAGCAAATTTACACTGTTAAACAAGCTGTAGACTGACTACCTTACATTGTATCAAAGAGTCATGTCTTCAATGTTGTCCTACTAAAAGATGTAATAAAATATTTACAAAAATGTGAGGGGTGTACTCTACATATTGTTTTTTTTTCTTGAAGATATTTGTTTGCCGACCCACTTTCAGACATTGTTTCACAAATTGAAATCTTAGGCCATGATTGAACATTAATATCTCAAAAACTAGTAAAATTAAAACCCCAAAATGCTTAATGATCATTCTCAACCGGCTCACTACCTCCCGCTTTTGGCCTAGGCTGTCACTTGAGCCCCTTTTCCATTAGTAAAAAAGGAGCTCCTCTGCCGGCGTTCAAACCAATCTGAACGATACTAAAATGTGACATCGTGAGACTGATTGGCTGGGCAGTGGTGTCACTCAACGGGTCATAAGAGCATCTCAAGAAAATTAAAACTGCCAATTTCTGAAATCCGTGAATGAGGGAAATGGCTGCAAAAACAAGGCCCTGTTCCCCTAGTCTGACGAAAGTCACAGACCAAGCATCAGATATATTCTTGCCTCAACGTCCACCTTTGTTGTAGCATTTGTGTCACATACTAATTACATCACGGGGCACACAGTAGCATTGCTGTGACGATCATGCACATTAGGAGGTACTGGATTGCAATACAAAACCAGCCAATCTTATTCAAGTTGTGGCGTGTCGATCTGAGTAGATCGCTGGTTTGAGCGTGGAGTCAAGGAGGCCCTTTACATGAAAAGGAAACAACCATCTCCGAATAGAGGAGGGGGCCTAAGGGTAGATCTTTCTTCATCTTACAATGCTGTGATGTATCTTAAGAGTGCGTACCAGAAATGCGGCAACATTCACAGGTTTCCTTTTGGAGACATCTGATCTGGCAGGCTCAAAGTTTCCTTGGTCCAAAAGACGAAACCTGTCCCTGGAGATTTGAGATGATGGAGTGTTAACAGGAAGAACAGCTGGACAAACACAAAGATTTTTTTTTTGTTTTGTTTTTTATTAATCTACAGTCTTTTGTCATCCATCCTCACATGCAGACTCTTAATATCCACACAACAGACAAAAGATATGGTTAGTACAAAATAATAAAAGCAAAATAATATTTTTAATTTGGAGCATCATGTAACTCAGAAGTGACACAGCTATGACTTGTTCATCTGAGTGAACAAATCTGTTCCTAATCCTTGATGTTCTGTACTCTGGAAACAGAAGCCAAGGAGAACGAACTGAAAGTCAGTGTGCACAGGGATCCTGATTCAGCATGGATTTACTTTTCCCACATCCCTCTGATCGATATTAAAGAGTTCAATGTGAAACGTAAAACTTCCACGACGCTTTGAAAATCTTGGTGACAAAGTAAAGAGTTATGGTGAAGTTTACCAAATTATCTCATGGAACTGTTTGTTTGGACGAGTGGATTCATTTAACAGGAGAGGTTAGACGCATCAAGCTAAGGTTTCATTCATCAGGATTGCCATCTAAAGTTTAACAGCTTGCTCTGCATTGGCTGCTCTGAAGTCCAAAAGTGTCTTTTGAATTTTTCACCTACATGGGAGGCCAAAGCATCTCAATCTGAATGAGTCTGAATCTGAAGTACTGATTTTAATTAGGTCGTGCCAAAACCTTCATTTTATTTTTATATGTCATTCAGAGGTGAATAGCTGCTGTGTTTTGTATCACTGTGCTGCTGCCCGAGTGCTCTTGAGCTTCAGGACATAATCAGATGTGTGGACATTCTCCTTCAGGGTTTTCTGGTAGAGAGCAGAATTCATGGTTTCATCAGTTATAACAGAGCAGCCCAGACCATCCACACTACCACCACTGTGTCTGACTGCTGCTGCGATGTTCACTTTCTGAAATGTCATTATTTTGATGCCAAATGTAACGGGACTCAAACTTTCCAGAAAGTTCCGCTTTTGTCTCGTCAGTCCATAGAATATTTCTGAGAAACCCCAGGAAAATCTATGTTTCTTGGCAGATGTGACACGAACCTTTCCTCCTTGAACTATTCATTTTTGCCCAGTCTCTTTCTTATTGTTGAATCATGACTTTTGACCTTAACCCTATTGTAGGGTCTATCTTACTATATAAAGCCCCTTGAGGCAACTGTTGTTCTGACTTAGCGCTGTATGAAATTGAATTAACTGAGCCAAGTGATGTCTACAGGTCTACAGATGTAGTTCTGGAGTCTTCTTTGACCTCCTGGATGAGTCGTTGATGGTTCCTTGGAATAGTTTTATATTTTCTTCAATAAGAGCAGAAAGCAGTGTTGCCAACTCCTCAGTAAGGAAAATCACTATTGGCTGTCCTAAAAGTTGCTAGAAGTCGCTAAATGACATCATCGCGCAATTTGCATAATTGGTCATGCTAATGTATGGTAACCTACGCTGTTGGAGAGAGAAATAACATTGTGGAAGAGACATAAAGTGAGTAAAAAACGTCCTAAATGCAGTTAGAATTTATTTAGAACTACAAATTAAATTTCTTGTAGCAATTATTGTTTTTTTTAATGTCACAATTCCAACCCTGCTCCTTTATCCGGGCTTGGACCGGCAAAAGTAACCCAAAATAGGCGCTCTTTTGGAGTTACTTTGTGTGTGTGTTTATGAGTAGTTTTAAACCTTGAGATCCGATACAAAACAGCATAACAGTGAAAGAAGAACTGATTGCGTTACAGTCAGTGCGGGAGCAGCGACTTCGCTCATGTGCGATTCATTTGCAGTTTGGACGCATAGGGGTGAACATCTCCTACACTGATAGCAGCTGCATGAAGACTATCCTCCGCCTGTGAGCGCTTTGGTACGGGCAAGGTGCCCACGGCAGCAACCGCTGCTTGTTGAGAGTAAGAGCGATACGCGCTTTCACGTCAAAAAGTCGTCATAAATAAGTCTCCAGTAACACCAGAAAAAGTCGCCAGATTTGTCGCTAGTCGCTTTTTAGAAAAAAAGTCACTAAGGGGGGTCTGAAAACCCGCTAAATATAGCGACAAAGTCGCTAACTTGGCAACACTGGCAGAAAGGCTCTGCAGTCAGCTGGAAACTGGAGAGAACCAATCATAGTAAGCTACAGGCCAAACAACAGCTGAGCTTCACATACGAACACAGGAGTGTGTGTATGGGCTCAAAATGTGGTCATAAATATTTTGTACTTGTAAAAAAGATTTGTATGTGTAAAAAAGATTTGTATATGTAAAAAGAATTTGTGTGTGCGTAAAAAAGATTTGTATGTGTAAAAAAGATTTGTGTGTGGACTTAGAAAAAAAAACCCTGCAAGTTACAAGTACGGATTTTTGACCCCATTTTTCTACCCTTCATCTGATTGGTCAATGTCATGTCAATCACAAATGTAACAATCCAATCAGAGAACAGATGGGTTAGGCTGTCGGAGGGGAGCTTTTTTGAACTGCAGGTCCTTGAAGGGTGATACCGTTTGAAGCTGGAGGATCGCTATATAAATATCCGATAGCAGCTAGGTCCCCTAACTTTCAGTAGCTGTTGAAAGGAAAAAGTTGTGGTATATCAGTGGTTAGAAATAACATTATTACTTTAGGATTAGTTTAACACAAAGTCAGGGCTGACCCAGGACCATTGCTGTGAGTCACAGTGCGCAGCATAAAAGTCCTTTCACATCGGATGCAGGATACGCTGCTAATGCTAACTGCTAACTAAAAGCAAAGGATCCAGAATTTGTTACGCTGGCTGCTGGGCTCTGTGGGTTTTTGCAGCAGCTCTACCTGTACTAGATGCACCTGCTCCTTGTCTTTTCTATCTCTGACTTTATGTCCTCTACAAGAGTTTGTTTTTTTTGCTAGTTCTTCAAATGTTCAATAAAAACATGTATGCTAATTCATAACGAAGAAAGCTTTGTAATGAAGACTGTCATTTCAAAAACACTGCCCGCCCCCACCCCGTGGTCCGCAGCGCTGTTGAAAAGGCTGTGGAAGTCCCTGTATTAAACACGTAGACCTCTGACACAAAAATCACCAAACTCGGACGACCACAGACTGTTTTCCTTCGTGGTGATGAAGGAAAACGCTGGGTTGGCATGTAAAAGGGCATTTATTCCCTTCAAAGACCTGCAGTTCAAAAAAAGCGCCCCTCGACAGCCAAACCCATTTGTTCTCTGATTGGATTGTTACATTTGTGATTGACATGACATTGACCAATCAGATGAAGGGAAGAAAAATAGGGTCAAAAATCCGTACTTTTTCTAAGTCCATACACAAATCTTTTTTACGCACACACAAATCTTTTTTGCACACACAAATCTTTTTTACACATACAAATCTTTTTTACAAGTACAAAATATTTATGACCACATTTTGAGCCCATATGTGTGAGAAAGAATTTTTTCACAAACACCGAGTCAGGAACAACATTTAGACACACATTACCTTTCTGCAGTAGCAGGACCTTGTCCTCTGTCAAAATTTATAAGGTCTTGTAATGACTTGGTGCGCTTTAAGGACGCAGTCCTATTTTCAGTTACAGGACACATCCTGACAGAAAGAAAAACAAAAACACACTTTCATTAATGTTTTTGGAAAAAAAAAATCATTTTAAAATGTAAATATTTTAATAAAACTGAAGGAATAAGGGGGGGAAACCCATATAAAGAAGTCATTCACACGATGGACCACATTACATCAGAAATAACAAATGATCCACAACTGAAACTACCCTCTGTAGAAAATATGAGTATAACCTCTGAACACTGTCAGGTTTACCATTATTTTATTCAGTTACAGCATCTTTTTGACCTTTGTCAGGCACAGAGAAACTTTGTAATGGTAAAAAATAATGATAAATGTGCATAGGTTATACTCTTATTTTGAAAAAGGTTTTATTTCCCTCTATGCACCTGTAGATGATTCAGGTGTGGAGAGTTTTCATATATTTGAAATTTAGATTTATCCTCTACAACAGTGGTTCTCAAACTTTTCACAATGAGTACCACCTCATAAACTGTCTCTTGAAGTACCACCCTTATGACTGACATTAAAGTACAGTAGTACACCACATATAGTTTACACAGACAATTTTATTTCTTATATGAATGTTATTTATTTTAACTGTCATAAATAGGATGTGATAATAATAGCAACTGTACTGCATTAAAACATTCGCAGCAGGTGGGATATACAGTCTTTAAGAGATGACATTTGCATTTGTCCCTAACCTTCGGGAACCCTCACGTTAACTTTTATCAAGTGGAAAAAAGTTAGCGTTCATCCTCCAGCTTCACTGTTTATATTATGCAAACCATAGCTGTATAGCTAGCCACTTTATTATATACCAGCTAGCCCAACTTCAGTAACCACACAAACACCACTGCTGTTTAGTCTTCTGTCTTCATTTATGTCAGAAGTGATAGCAGAGGTGTAGGTTTTACCTTTTGCTGTGGCGGGTAAGTGCTGGATTTTTGACTTCACGACCCTCCTTCGTGGTTCATGCACGTCAAAAATCAGTTTGCTCTTCATGGCGTTTCAGCCCACAACACAAAATACCATCATGTGGGCCTTGCATGGGATCCCCCCACCCAAGGGAAATACACCGTTCTCAAGGCGCTGCTGCTCGGCACTACTCCCTCTCTGACGCAGAGTGGGCCGAGAAACCCCTCTCTCTCTCTGGCCTGGGTGATGGTACCGCTCTCAAGCTCATGGAGAGCACGCTGTTCTTGCAAGTAACGGATGACAGCGGATTCCTCTTCACGCACGTCTTCCTCCGACAGTTGCCGGCACCAGTGCGAGCTGGCCCCCACTGATTCTCCCGGGGGCCTCCAACTCATCGATTGTGGGTGGGATTGCGGCACCATGGAAAAGGCTGTGTTTTTACCATCAGCGTGACAGGGCCGTGCCACCTTTGCTGTTTTAAGGCCCAGGGAAACGAGCCCACCAGCGCTCTGTAGCGGCTGCAACCGCTGGCGATAAGGAAAGGCTGCTCTTCATAGAGGGCTCACGCTGGGGGAGACGTTTTCTGGTTGACTCTGGCTCCCAGAAAAGCCTTGAGAACTCTCGCGCCATCTTTTCATACCTCTACAATGGTATGTTATTTAATCTTTAAAAAAATGGAGATTTCCCACATACCACCAGAGAGAACCCAAGTACCACTAGTGGTATGCATACCACTACAGTTTGAGAAAGACTGGTCTAAGGAGCTTGGAAAGAAAAGCATCTGGACTTCTTTCAGTTGCTTGAAGACATTTCACCTCTCCTCCGAGAAGCTTCTTCAGTTCTAAGGTCAAATGGTGGAGAGTCCCAGAGTTAAGTCCTAGGGAAGTGTCCACCAAGAGGGACATGGATGGACCCCCTGTTGATCCTCTACCTAATCAAACAAGCCAGGGTGTAAAAACGGGTGTAGGTAACAATCAGCCAAGGTTTTGGGTGAACCCGCTGTGAAACCTAGCCCCACCCTATCATGTGATTTCCCGAGGTCAAATGGCCCAGGATGTGAGTGGGTGTTAAGGCTTCTGGGAAAAGATCTCAAAACTGGATTATAGATGGCAGACGGTTGGTGTCGTAAACCACCACCTCCGTTCAAAGATGGTTGTTCACAGTGGACATAGATGGCTTCTTCCCCTCATCTTTCAAACCATCTGTCTTCTCTGTATAAAATGTGAACATTATTGCTTGCCTTCAACAACTTGAAAAGGACAAAATCATTGACCACCCTACATATCATCATCTATACCCAGGGGATGCTATACCTTGTATTTACGGACTTCCAAATATCTACAAAGAAGGGATCCCACTCAGGCTCATTGTTAGCAGCTTAAACTGATATCTCTGTAACCCTTTCAGACTGGGTTATGAGACATTTGAGATTACTTCAATCTGTCAGAAAGATTTATTTTAAGTGATTTCTTCATTCAGGAGGTCTGAGATTAGGCCTGAGTGTGGCTAGAGAAATTGAACTCAACTTTCCAACAAATGTGGTTAATCATAGTTTATTCATGATTAAACAACTTTTTCACACAGGTTTGGATGGCTTACCTGGCTCCTGGGTAAAAGTTTCCATGGTCCAAAAGAAGAGCATGCCCCTGAGATTTGGGATGATGGAGTTTCTAACAGGAAGAACAGCCTGACAACATCTGGAAAAACACAAAGAAAACCAATGATTTTAGATCAGGATTACTAACACCTGATGAAGCTGACCGTTTCTGTCTCACCTAATACAGTCAGGTTCTGAGCATCACGTAACCCACAAAGCAACAAAGCTATGATTCATTGATCTGAGTGATGCAAAGCTTTTTTTTTTTCTTTTTTTTTGTTATTCATTCTGGGAACAGAAACCTTTGTCCAGAAGGAAGAGGGAAGGAGGAACAAACTGCAAAAGTATGTTGAGTCATCAAGAAACATTGAAGCAGTTAACTGCTGTATGTGTCTGCTGTAATGTGGTGATGGTTCAGCACTGATAAACCAATCAGCTGTTAGATCGCTTCATTTCCTGACAAATGTCCAAGACACCAAGGAAAATCATAGAAGAGATTCAACATAAGCTCGATAATATGAAACCAACATGATGTTATCAATGTGGAAACGAGAAAGATGTCTCAAACATGAAAGGCACTGGTTCCCTTTGAAGCACACAACTTTGGCTTTGAATCAAAAACTGTTGCCACATATTTAAACTCTGAGCACATTCTGACTTAAATGGATATGACCTGATGAGTACATGTTCTAAACTCAATGCTCATTTCTTTTGTATTAGATATGTTTTAGCCGGTCCTGTCTGGCTCTGCAATCTGAATTATGATCTGAATGCACCGTTGTGCCAAACAGATTTGCTTTTCCAAGACAAGCTCTAGAAAGTCTGTACAGACTCCTCTTGTTTGTATGGTTTTTAATATAATGTATTAATTTCTATTATTACTCACAGTATATATGTAATATAACAATGTCAAAGCTGACAGACAGAAAAGAGAAACAAAGACAATAGAGAATATAAAAAAGGATAGACCACAAATAGAAAAGCACAACTGCACCTGTAACTCAAATTATTTTTAATTTTCAAATCTGCAGCACAGTTACAGTTAGGGCTGCCACAAACGATTATTTTGATAGTCGACTAGTCACCGATTATTTTTGCGATTAGTCGACTAATCAGATCATGCATCCATTGGACGTAAAACGTACAGCTTATTGCACCAGAACGCATCTGACTCAAGAATTTGTGGACTGGTGCCAGCAGAACTACCTCCAGATCAACGCCAGTAAAACCAAGGAACTGGTGGTAGACTTCCGCAGGCACAAGCATTCTCCACTGCAACCACTGAACATCCAAGGTATGGACATTGAGGCTGTGGACAGCTACAGGTACCTTGGTGTTCATCTGAACAACAGACTGGACTGGACTCATAACTCAGACGCCCTCTACAGGAAAGGGCAGAGCAGGCTGTACCTGCTGCGGAGACTCAGGTCGTTTGGAGTGGAGGGCCCACTCCTGAAGACCTTCTATGACTCTGTGGTGGCTTCTGCTATCTTTTATGGTGTGGTCTGCTGGGGTGGCAACATCTCTGCCGGGGACAGGAAGAGACTGAACAGGCTGAACCAAAGGGCCAGCTCTGTTCTAGGATGCCCTCTGGACCCAGTGGAGGTGATGAGTGACAGGAGAATGGCGGCTAAGCTGTCATCCCTGTTGGACAACATCTCCCACCCCATGCAGCAATCTGTGACAGCACTGAGCAGCTCCTTCCGTGGGAGACTGCGGCACCCACGGTGTGGGACGGAGAGATTTCGCAGGTCTTTCCTCCCCACTGCTGTCAGACTCCACAATAAAGACTTTAACTGATCAAACACACACATCCACACATGTGCAATAATCTTTTCTGGCATTGTTGTATTTTTACTCAGTTGTATATAGCATTTGTATTCTATTTTTATCTTATTGTATATTTTATTCTATTTTATTCTACTGTATATAGTATTTTATTTTATTCTATTCTATTCTGTACAGTTGTGTACTGTATTTATTCTAACCGAGTTAACGATAAAAACTATAACAAAATAACGCTGAAAACCGATAAAAACCCTGAAAACCATACATTTCACACCTGAGCCTCAACTCTCGCGGCCCGGTACCAAACGACTCACGGACCGGTACCGGTCCGAGGCCCGGGGGTTGGGGACCGCTGATCTAAGGGACCTATATATGTTTAACCTGAGTAGCGAAAGACGGCGGTGGGTTTGAAAACGATTTACCGAGAGTCCGGTGTTCTCACGGGCTCTAGTGAGCTTTGCCCCCGGCTAGCTATCGAGCTAGTGGGTAACAGACGTCTCCGAAAACGTCGGAGCGCTTTTGAAAATATGTGGTGTCTTGATAAACTGAGCAGATATTTGAGGTTTACACAGTTACATTCTCGCCTAAAAATATGTTAAACGTTTATTTTGTGACCCAGAAAGAATAATAAGAGTAATATTAAAACTAACTAGCTGCCGCCATTGTTGGAAACTGAGCTGGGCTGTGCTATGAATTCTGTACAGAGCTACTTCTTCTTCTTCGGGGTTTAATGGCAGCTGGCATCCTTGTACATGCAGTGCTACCATCTTCTGTTTCAGTCTGTTATTACACTCGTAAATACTACTACTTATTCCTGCGTCTTTTGTGATCTTACAAAGCTTCAAACGACGCATCGACTATTAAATCAGTCGTCGACGGTTTTGATAGTCGATGTAATCGTGACTAGTCGACTAATCGTGGCAGCCCTAGTTACAGTCCAAACAAAAATCAGGTTCAATGAGGTCACTGAAGACAAGCTCTGTTCCTTTGTAAGCAAACTGGAATGACTCAGGCACTACTCTGTGTCTGGTGATGATAGTAATGATGAAGGAAAACAAACTCCTCCTTAGGACATCAGCCTGTATATTGTGTGTGTGCACTTATGAAAAGAGAAGCGATACATGGAGATAAAATGAATGAGAGGCTTAAACAAGTCAGTGATAAAACCAAACATCTATCAGCATAAATTAAGACTCTAGAAGAACACAAAACAACAGAAGCTGCTATAAAGACTTGAAAGAAAATACAATCACTGCTGCTCTGGCTGGGTCAGAAGCAGAAACGAAAGTTTTAGTAGAGCTGTGTACAGAACGCTCATGTAGACGTCAGCAGATATCAGTGGTGCTGATAAAGGGGATTTTGAACCATGAGAAAATGCTGTCCTTAAACTATTACAGCGGTGATGCTAAAGTAAAACACTTGCGTGACAAGTTTTTTGTTGATGACTATAGGATTGCAGAAGCTTCATAAAATGTTGGACTATCAAATAATTAAACCAGAAGATGGTGACGTGTTACAGTCTTTTGCATTGTTCCTCACAGGATGTTTAAATGCGATGTTTGGTATTAGCTTTATGGATGACTTGGATAATGGCACAACTATAAAGGCACTTGTTAACAAGCTCCACTGTGAGCTTCAAGAAATATGGAGAAAGGCTGCAAGTGGTCTGCAGAAGAAATCAAAGATATGCATGTAGACAAGTTTGACAACAAGCAAGCTAGGCATGTGCTTCACCCAGCACGAGAGACTGAACGCAGCAGAAATTATGATCAAGAGGTGCAGAAACCCTTAAACCAGCACAAGTATTTACTTCATGGCTTTCCTTTCCAAATCTGAGTTTGGAAATGATAAAGAAGTCACAACAAAAACACCAGCAGCTTTTGTGGATTCTTACAACAGGGCTTAGTTAATTGTAGAAGTGAACAACACAGCCTTTTAGTCTGTAAAAGATTCCAAAATAATCCACATAAAGAAAAGACTGACTGTTTGAGAAGCAAAGGTCAGAGTTCCTCATGTTTGAAGTGTTTGGTCACATGAGCAGCAGCTGCAAAGATTAATGTCAGCTGTGTTTTCAACTGCTTCCGATGCTACAGCACATGAACACTAAAGAAAACAGTTTCAAATGTTTTTAAAAAACTCAGCTTAAACTTCTGGTCTCACTGTTCTTCCTGTTGTTCCACGTCAGTTAATGTGGAAAAGGGAACCAAAGTGGTAACAACTGTTGTGGAGGTTTTCCATTTAATAAAGCCTGCAGACAAGCGGTGAGCGAGAACCCACTGAACTGTGCAAATCTATGTTACACAGAAATATAAAAGAAACAAACTAGAAACTTAAAAAAGACAATAAAAGCACAGATATAAGAGACATAAAACGTCCAAACTAGGGCTGGGACAACGTGTCGACGTAATCGATTATGTCGACGCGTAAAATACGTTGACGTAAAACAATTTGCGTCGATGCGTCGTCACTTTCAAAAAAATACATGGCGGCAGCGAGTAGCGGTAACATGAGTGAGGTAGTCGCAGTCGACTTAAACCACTGCACCCGAACACGCAGTTCTACAGTATGGGGATATTTTAACCGAAAAGGAAGTGATTCAGTCGTTTGCCAGCTTTGTAAGGTGGAAATGGCCTATCATAAAAGCACGACGGCTATGCACCAGCACCTCAAACGACG